GAACCTATTGCAATAAAACGGCAATTTCATACTTTAACCCCTAATATATTATATATTCAATTGGTAGTAAATACGTACGTGCTGCAGCAAATAGCCATCAGGTAGAAAAGTTGAATAGTTCTCCACAGCAGCGGAGGTTTGAACAGAGGCACTGTTTGATTCACTATGGAGCTCCAGAACGAGTCCTTGGTTGACTCTTCATTAGCGGGTACTTTCAATGTTTTCACCTGTCAATGTAGAAGTAAACAAAATGTAAGTATGGAATCATTGACTTACAAATAAATGGACGACGGGTCTAATACAAAAACCACGAAAAAAGTGTCCCAAGTCAACCTATTCGAAATTTAAATTGTAATGTCATCGCAGTATCGCGCTGTCAGTCGAACAAATGAAGACTAAAGCGGAGTTTGGCGCTCTGTATACGATTTTAGCGCCTTACAAGTGCGGACACTTTTTAACGCCGACCCGACGTCCATATAATTGTAAGTCAATGTATGGAATGAAATAAGTAAGTAACAAATAAATAAGTTAAATTTTATTAAAAAATCCATTTTCTCACATTACCACGAGGATTCGAAGGTGTCAATTATGAAACAACCATTCACACACTAAACTACCACCGCTTTTTGTAAGTCGAATTGAAAATATCCGTTGTTTGTTTAATATAAACAAATATTAGACAATGTCACATACGTTGCTATGACCCCAAAGTAAGTAGTTGAAGCACTTGTGGCATCGAAATCGGAAACAACGACGGCACCACAAACACCCAGGCTTAGAATAATAACGCATAGAAACCTAGTCCGCACACGCTAAGTGAGGCAAATTGAAGCGCTCCCAAAGGGCCTACACGAGCGGGCGGGCCGTCAGTGCTCAAGGTCAACTTGCACCGCGAACAGCTCAAGAATTTTCGCTTAAAATGACGAAATGTGCGGTAAATGAGTGTAAAAATACGTCAGACAAACATAAAATAGATACTAACATCACATTCCACAAGGAAGTAACGCGTTTCAACTTGTATTTTTATATAAATATTCATTAAAACCGAAAATTAACCTACTACTAAAACTAGCCCACATGAATTTGATTTTTGCCTTACTTGAGACAGTTCGTTTGATATGAGACTATCATTCTATGCGTTATTATTCTAAGCACCCAGACATGAGACAATATAAAAAAGTTAGTTTTCTACATTGACCCAGCCGGGGATCTAAGTCAGGTTCTCAGAGATGACAATACATTTTTGTAGCAGTAGAGCTCCTTATGAACGAGTTCGTTCAGAGAATTAAAGCGGTACGTGAATCAATCACGGAGGTCGTCAATACTTATATTGTAAGTTAGTGCAGTGATAGCCCAATCGAAGAATGCTTGCTTCGGTCTTTCTAGATTCGATTTTTGTATCGTGTAACGTGATTTAATATTCGAGTATCTTGAAATATTATTTAATATAAAATTTAATAATTTAATATAATCATAAAAATTGCCACGGAAATTAGGTAGTGAACACTAGTCCGAGAATGAGCGAAGTATGCAGTGATAGCCCAATCGGACAATGCTTGCTTCGCTCATTCTCGGATTAGTGTTCACTATATACCTAATTTCCGTGGCAATTTTTATTATTTGAGTATTCGATTTTTTTTATCGTGCAATATAATTTAATATTCGAGTACTATATTGTGACATATCATTTAATAATTACACCATTATTGCCTTGAATATTTAAATAATAAAAATTGCCACGGAAATTAGGTAGTGAATATTAGTCCGAAAATGACCGGCTTCTCAAATGAAAGGTCGACTGTTCTAATCCCTGTGGTGGCATGTATCTTATATGACTATACTAATTTATGTTACGTACTTTTGTGAATGTTTACAATCAGTATCTCTTGATACCGGTGAAGAAAAACATAGTGATAAAATTTGCACGTTGAAGACGGCTCACAACCCTTAGAAAACGTCCTCAATCCGCAATTGGGCTAAACCTTAGAGGAGACTCGTGCTTATCAGTGGGACGTACTATAGGTTGACAATAAGCAACCAAAGAAGTAAACTTACTGGATAAGTGTCTTCGTTTCCGCCATTAATTCTATACATAGTTCGCATTACTCGAAGAGCTTGTTCTGTGTCTCGCCGACTGGCAAGAAACTTGGGGCTCTCATACAGAAACAGCAGCAGAAAAGTGCCCAACCCCAGCGGAACTGACAGCAACAGAGCATACAAGCGCCACGGGCGAAATGAGATCGAAAGGTACGGTATAAATAACTCAAAATCCAGCCGTAGAAGTAAATAAGCCATGGCTGTAACATTTCAAAGACAGATAAATAAGTCAGTTAATAAGTAGCGCAAGTGTTAAGTTTTTACAACACCTCACAGTGAGAGCATGAATTGTTGCGTGTTCCTTTCAGTCCGCCCAAAACTGGCTTAGCACGGCCACGTGGTGTCACGGGCCGCGACACGCGAGCTCGCACCGACGCGCTTTGGGAAGCGTGCCCCCCGAGCTGGCACTGATGCGACTGTGAGAGCCCGTTGTATAGCGAGCAATTTTTTGACAGCATTAATTTGAATGATTATTATGAATCGATAAAGCAAACTACGTATTTTCAATACAATAGAACTATCGACCTGCTCTTGTTGAATTATAATACCCAGACGCGTCTTTTCTTCTGAATTAAGTAAGTAGTATCCACTGTACAACACAAAAGTGGCAGCAGAAGTGGCGACACATTCGTTACATGACATTTTCGAATGGTAGCTCAAGCCAGATTAGAGCTCTCGACACACATCCGAGGACGCGCCGCCATGCGTGTCGCTCCAAGCCCGGACTCGCCTGTTACGCGACCGCGCCCGTACAAATCGGCAGGGCGCGGCCTTTGACACCACGGGCCGTGGCAAACCAGCAATAGACTCAACCTTTAACTTAGTCCAGTTTTCTTAACTTGTATTTCAATTACTTATTTTATTGCACTAGTAAACTTACTATAAAACACAAATTCCGCTGCTAATTCAGCACTGTTGATTATAAAGAGGTATTTACTCCTGCGCTTGCTGCCCGTGCACTCGCCTAAATACGTCATCGTTAGATTGAACCCTGCCGTCGAGCTGGAGAACAATTAAGATCATCATTAATTGGTAGGTTGTCCATAACGCGCCAAATGCTCCACAATCATTGTTTTACAAAAGGGAGAGCGTTCCCTCCCTTTTGTTAAGTTAACATAAAAAAAAAATAATGCGGTGTTTTTCAAAAGTCTGGCCGGTTATTATACTTTTTTGTTTGAGATCTAATTTGGAAATAAAAAATTAATCGACTGTCACTTTTTCACAAATTTGTCTAGTGGTTCGAGATTGATATTGCGTTCTTGCAAATTTCGTAAATTTTAATTGAAAAAGGTTTTTTAATTTATTAAACTTTTATTCAATCAAAGTGAAACTATTGCAATTTTTTTGTCACAAAATAATAAAGCATATTATCGTTGAATTTCTTCAAAATACTCTCACAATACGTGCAAGTTGGTAGTGTGTATTATGCAAGAAACTATGAGAAGCTAGCTACTTACAAACTGCATCCTATAAACTTAAGGGCCAGCATGACCTTCCAATCAGGCGCGAAACCAACGAGTATTGCCATAAGGAATCCTACAGAAGTGGAGAGAAGCAGCGCTCGTCGCCGGCCCTGTGTGTCCGCGTAGTAGCCCCATGGAAACGCGAATATTATACCTATTCAACAAAACAGCAGTAGAAGTAGAGCGATATTGTGTAAGAGTTCGTCCACGGAAGTACTGCCACCAAACATATGTCTGCTGCCAAGCATGATGTGAGCATCGATGCATTCCGGTCAAATACTTACTCTTTGGTTCTGGTTTAGGAAAGGTACAGGCAGCCTCACACGGTCCGTGATATCACGGGGCGCACCGAGCCGCGCCGATTTGTTCGTGCGGTGACGTCACGGGCCGAGGTAAGGCCGCTTTTACGGCTCATTCATGTTACACCGGGCCGTGACATAGTCAAATATCTATATTATATGCACTTCATGTAAGACCGGGCCGAGTCCGTGCCACGGCCGAGACAGCATCGAGTATTTTTTCCCGGTTCCAACCCGGCCCGATCGCGACACGTCGTAATATAAATGCACGCGCCGGGCACCCTGAGTGTAGTCAACGTTGGACTAAAGTGTAGTGGACTGCGCAAGCGCAAAATGCTCTCCTCATCTATTAAATCTTTATAGAGCGTGGCAAATTCTCTTTCGGATTCTCATTTTCTCCAGGCAGGATGTACACATCATCTTCATTTTCTAGTTTCAATTTGTGTTTCCATTACTTCGTCATCTAGAACTATGGCAACAACTGCCAACTCAAGTTGTGAAAATTACATTTCAAATCAAATCAAATCAAATCATTTTATTCGTCATCATGGGTACAATAAAGATGATAACATTTATTTTATGGTCGCCATGACGTACCATCAAGGCATACGAATCATACTATTATTATTAATTGTACTTGTCCAATACTTCCAAATTATAATAATAATAAAATAACACTAATAATTATCATTAAATAGTCATAAACCACTGATTATAGGCTTCCACCTTCACAGGACCAAGTCTTAAAATCTACAACAGTTAGGACATCAAAACAAAAGTAATTTAATTAAAATAAATCAATGTCATACAGTCACTTTCGTCTCAATAATAAATAATAAATTAATTAATGTGAAATTAGTTAGCAAAATTCCTTTAATGTATAAAATGATTTTTCAATTAAATACTCAAATAATGTGCGTTTAAATTCCGCGAAATTTTCATTCTGCCTTACCTGCAATGGCAATTTATTATAGATTTTTGGTGCCATTGCAATTATACTCTTCTCAAATAGTGACGTTTTACAATTTATTTGGCGTAGTTGGTTAGGACGTCGTGCTCTTGTAACTACAGGAAAAAGTTGTGGGTGTCGTCATATAAATAAGGCTGTTTCATAGATATATAATGAAGGCAAGGCCAAAATTTTTAGTTCTCGAAAATAGTTTCTGCAACTGTCGGTCTGTTTCAGTCCACAGATTGCCCTTATGCACCTCTTTTGAGCTCGAAAAATTGTATTGTATTATGTTGCTACTATTACCCCAAAATAAGATACCATATCTGAGTGTTGCAGCTATGTAGCTGTGGTAAACTACAAGTAAAGCGTTTTTGTTTACCACCTTAGACAATTTAAAGAGAGCGTATGATTGTTTCGATAGTTTGTTACGTATTATTTGAAGTTGTTCCTCCCATTGCAATTTTCCTATCAATGTGAAGTCCAAGGAATGTGGTTCACGATGTTTCACCGATAACACGAGAATTATAAATTAATTTGTTTGTCAAAGAGTTATTGCCCCTTTGCTTGAAATTCATAATTCTCGTTTTGTCAAGATTTAGTAATAAATTATTAAATTTAAGCCATGCCATTACATTTGTTAAGGATTTTTTCATTTCAGTCTCATTTTCAAATAAAATAGTACAGTCATCAGCGAATAAAGTTATGTGATTTGGAATTGATTTAGGCATATCATTAATATAAGTAATAAACAACAATAGACCTAGAACACTACCTTGTGGAACCCCATATTTTACTAGTCTACGAGAAGATTCGTAAATAGTTTCTGTTTTTGTAGTTAAAGAAATTCGACTGATTTGTGTTATTTGTGTACTGTCACTCAGGTATGATTTTAATAAGTTTTGAGTATTTCCGCGTATACCATAAATTCCCAATGTTTGCATTAATATATCATAAATAAATAAATAAATAACGCACACACTCAACATAGCCCCGCACTAGGGAAACCCTGTGTCACGGGTGCCATGGACACACACATAGACAACCACAAATTACACCCAAACTCACGAGAGAAATAATTGTAGGCCATACAAATATTTCTCCCGGCCCGGGAATCGAACCTGGGACCTCTTCGTGGCAGTCCGGCATGGTAACCGTTCGGCCACGGAGGCAGTTTCATGATCCACATAGTCAAAAGCTTTTGACATAGCCATGTACAGTGCCATTACAGGTTTTCTTTTGTCCATTCTACTGTAAATAATGTTAAAAAATTCATATATTGCAAGATCAATGGATTTATTCTTACGAAATCCTTTTTGTTCGTTACAGAATATATTATTTGTTTCAAGGTAGTCATAAATACTTTTAGAAATAACCTTTTCAATAACCTTTGAGAATACAGGTGTTAACGCTACAGGTCTATAGTTTTTCATATTATTAGGTTCGTCTTTTTTAAGAATTGGTTTAGTAATGGTTGTTTTTAGTTTAGATGGAAATACCCCTTGTTCTATGCTTAAGTTAATAATGTGAATTAAAATAGGTGAAATTAATTCGGATACAAATTTAATTATCTTTGTACTTAACCCATCATATCCTGTACTGTTTATGCTCTTAAGATCTCTTATAATTTTACTGACCTCTTCCGGGCTAACAGGTCTTAAAAAAAATTATTTGTATCCATCATATTTACAAAGTTTTACACTATCGTGTGAGCAACGATTCACTGGTTGTACCTGATCTATAAAATAATCTTTGAAATTTTGAGCAATCTGAGTAGGGTTTGTAATATTTGATCTATTTACAGTTATTTTCGTATCCTTTGGCATCTGCTGCTTAGTACTATTAATAACGGTCCATGTTGCTTTTGATTTATTTTTAGAATTAAGTACATAATAGTTATTTTGAGATGCTTGGGTTAACTTTAAAATTCTTTTAAATTTAGAAGAGTAGTTACGAAATAATTCCAAGTCATGTTTGCTTTTTGAAATTCGATATTTCCATAACAAATTTCTTCTACGCTTACTGCATTTTTTTATGTCCTCCGAAATCCACTTGGGTTTTAATTGAGTACTAATTCTTTTTCTTATAAAAGGGAAGAATAAATCGTACATCAGTTTGAATATCTATTGAATCTATAGTCTCTCTTGGAAATTGCCGTAAATGATAGTGAACACCGAAAAGCGAGACTTTTCGCTTCCGGCACTGTACCATTGCCATATGAGGTAATGTTCCAAGACAAAACGCAAAGAACTGAGTGGAGGCTGAATATAAAAGCGCCTACTAGGCCAAAAAGCCTTCTCGCGTAAGGTTAAAGTTTTCTTCTATCTTTTTGTAGTAAGTGTTTTCATACATAATTCTGGGGGACTTGGGTTAGTGTCTAGTCCCTTTATTTAACCTTATAGAAAATTATTACACTTCTATACGTGATCCAGGGGGCCTACTATAAGCTTATAAGCAGCCAGCCAAGTTCCATGCAATTCACTTGACGTGGTAGAACTGAATTGCTTAAATTCGCATCATGACCTACACAAAGTTGAACGGGAATGGCATGGCAGGATGATGAGTTTTACTTTTTAAACGTTAATTATTTTCGCTGGCTGGCTGGCTGACATCTAACAAATAGACATAGACAGATAGACATAGAAATAGATAGTGCATCCCAGGATAGTACATCGGACTATCCCGGGAGCGTTCAAGCATCATTAACTGATTGTGTTCACAGTGAGATCAATTAAACTTTTTTTTATTAATTTTATTATTGATTACACTTATTGTGTTGTTTTGTAATATTGGCAACTTTTCAATCATATTTTACAGTTTGTCGTACGACAAAATTACTTGTCATGTCTAGTCATTATCATTGAAATGAATAAGGTGAGTTTGTAATTTGATAACATAATTGGAACGTATTTTGTATTCGTAATTCGTATATTTTTATTGATTGCATTAAAGTCCAATTTGGCACACACCGCTCCAAGCAATTTTCATTAATTGCAATATTTCAAAGGCAGTATTCAAAAGTTATTTTACGATTTTCGCTTAGTCAATAAAATTCCATTTAAAAATTGCAATAACATTCATGCCAATAATCTGTCAACAATACTTCAAAGATTTTAAACTGGAACTAAAACATTCAAAAAACGCTCAATAGTTAATTAATAGTATTTATTTATTGACAATTGGCTACGTAGCCTAAAAAGACAACAAATAATTATGAAACTGGAAATGTAATAAAACTTAAACGAAATTTCTTAAAAATGTAACAAATCTAAAAAAAGTTAGTCACGGAGTAACTTTTTTTGAATTGCTTATTTTGACAGATGAGACCGCATTATTTTGGCAAATGCCACGTCATGATAATTATGATTTTACTATGAAAGAAAAGGTGAACGGATTTCGAATGTGGAACGTAAACTACATTGGCCCCCGATGTCATTTTGAGTGTATTGGAAGATCACATTCTTTTACAGCTTCATGTGTGGGAAGAATTCCATTTTATGTAGTTTATTATTATTGCCGAATTCAAGGATTCTTGTAGTTCTTCATACAGTAATGTAAAGTGTTACTTGCTCAAATGAGTTTGTTAGTAGATTGCTTAATTTTCGGAAACTTGTTTAACCTATAATTTGCAAATTTACATAAACTTAGTAGGAATTGAGCCACGTTCAATAGCAGCAGTTTTTATTCTTATCAGGACACGCCGCGACCGGTGATCTTTTGTTAAAGCCTGTTCATACATTTCTTGTGAATTCCAAGGTCCTATCGCCGGGCTACCTGCCACCCCTGAGTTCTCCGTCCACCTGGGGGCTGCCACCTCGGCGCACCGCGCTCCGCTCTCCTGAGTTCCCCACCACACCCGTACATTGGTCCGTGACCAATGTACGGGACGAGTGACCTAGTGCTTAAGCTAAGAGTATCCCCACACTTGAACTTTGTAAACCTGCGAAATATAAGTGTAAAACTATCTGTGCGTTTTTATTTTTGATCAATGGACTCGGAGCCTTAAACACTGAGGTTTCAGCAGTGCCAGTCAGAGCTTTAAATCGTTAAGATGTGACGGGCTCTGCTTTATCTCACCCTGAGACATAAGTTAACAACTCCCATGCTCACATTACTGCTTGGTGGCAGAAATAGGTAGGGTGGCACTTCGCTTGACGAACTGTTCCACAAGGAGCTGTACTGCTACTACCTGCAAAAGGCGCAGACGCCAGCAAACCAGTCTCGAAGACACCGAGTTGAAGATCGCAAGTCGCTGCTGCGAGAATGACGCCGAACCCGAACATGTCAACTCCCACCGCATTGCTGATAATGCTGCAAGCTGCCAGCTGTAAGTAGTTATAGCGGCCATGACCTGAAATGTTACGGTTATTGTACTTAAGAAAGACCATGTTATAGTAATAAAACTTTGAGATTAAACTTACAAAAACACAGTTGTTATGTTAATATAAGAAATTCCCCGATTGTAATGACTCAGATCTTGATTAATTAAAATACATATATACATTGCTTGTATTGGAATTTTATTCATTTTTTTTTATGGTTTTGATAAGAGCGCATTTCACCTCCATTTCACCTGATGGAAAGTGACGATGAGGTCGTCGATACACACGAAAATAATGTCTATTTACTAATAATTGAATACTAGATTTGATTTAGATGAACAATCGCAAAAATCTATAACTCGATATAGTATTTATAATTCTATTTCTAAACTTAAATGTAAAATTTTATTAGAATACTATGTTACTTAACAGTAATTATGTTGACCCTTTCGATACCGGTTCGATTCTCAAATGAGGCAAGCAAATTTTTTTAAATCTTTTCAATGCATTATATAACTTTTATAAATAAAATAGTGTCTTCATGCCATGGTAGCCTAATAGTTCGACCTACCGCCTCTCAAGCAAAGACCGTGGGTTCGAATCCGGCCTCTGAGTTTCTCGAACTTAACGTGCGAAATTCAATTTAAAATTTACCATGAACTTTTCAGTGAAGAACAACATGGTGATGAAACCTGGGGGTCGATTCTGAACTCTACGATGACTCACTTGTCGACCGATTTTTTCTTTTTCTTTTTAGTCACAACACCCGAATCGAACGTCGAACTATCGTATTCGAAACCGAACCGAAATGACGCGTACGATTACTCGAACTTCTCGACCGGCAAAGGCTACGAACGTTATTCAGAACACGTTATCGAATGAAAGTCACCGAACGTCCTATTGTTTATAAAGCAGGAATGTAACATGGAAATCTCTTATTATTTTTAATAAAGTCTGGATTTTGTTCAATTTTATAATTTTTAATGCAAAACTAATGCATTCCTATATTTTGGCCTTTAAAGTCTTAAAAATGTATATCGAAGGATTTTCTTTTAACTAACTCCGTAAACGCTGTTGGATAACAATATCGTATCAGAATTCGAATTGTAGTTTAACGCAAATGTTGTGAATAGCTCGGAAAGCGTCCATTGATTCGAGAACTATGTCCAATGGAACGATTCGGTTAAAATATCGAAGAGTTCTGAATAAGGTTCCTGCATGTCGAAGAAAGTTCATTAACGCTCGAAAAATTTGTGAAGTCCCCGACCCGCATTGGGCCAGCGTGGAGAACGATGGCCTAAATCCTCGCCTGAGAGGAGACTCGTCGCCCAGCAGTCGAACGTATTAATGATGTCTTCATGAAGCAAAATATCCTATCTTCAAAATTTAAAGTACTTTCCCCTATGTGTCCCATAGCCGTGAGACATCCTGAGCTCCGAGTCTTCTAATTTTAAATCATCTCCGTTGTGTATCGGTTAGGGATTTCATCCCGGGAACCTCGGTATTGAAAATTTGGAGTCTCCGAGAATTTTTTGCCGTTTTCGAGACTCGATACTGACGTTTTCAGTCTCGGGAATATCGAAACTTTTGGAACTTAAGTAATTTAATTAAAAGTATTAAAATTCTACTTAACCATACTATATTTTTTTATCGAAAGACTAAAACGAGCCAATTATATACCCGATTGCAAGAAAAAAAATTCCAATCTTTTCGCTCTACAACAATATTACGAATCAAAATTCTGAAGTTTTCACGGTATTTTTTTTTCCAACCAGACACACCTATAACAAACGTACTAACGCGGAAAAATAATATGGCGCCGCCGTCTATGCGCAAAAGGCGCAGAACTAAAACCGAACGCACTACTGCTACGGCTGTTAGAGTTTGTTCATTCGAATTAAATAAAAAAATTAGGCATATGCTTTTTCAGTATTTATTGAATTAATACGGAATTAACATTCAATTATTTTTTTATATGAAACTACTTCACTAGTTTGTTGTAATTATTAATACAACGATCAAACACTCTGAAAAAATTCCTTCGATCCGGCCGGATTCGAACCGACGTCTTCTATCATACCGTGGCAGACGCTATACCAACTAAGCCACGGGACGAACCAGCAGACTTCACGAATTTTTCTGTGTGCTTGTTGTCGTGCCTTTGTATTTGGTTTTTCAACGACTTTTTAACCGTAGCGCCATCTTTGAGAAATCTATGAAAGTATTTCGTCACGCAGCAAGCTCTGGCTATAGATGTCGGTATTCACTGCATTTTTAAATTTTTATTAAATTCATATTCAATTATTTTTATGTGAAATTGCTCCACTAGTTTGTTATAATTATTAATACTAGGTATGTACTTTTTACCCTCTTGGGATTAAATGATGCTCTTTACTCTTGCCACGTAAGGCTATGTTGACGTACTTTTACAACATGAGATAAAGTAATCATTGGTTATCTAGTTATATGGACGTGGCAACACTGTGAAGTGGAGTTTAGTCAATTAAGGTCGTATTCCAGAACTCTACTCAATGCTCAAGTCAGGACTTAAGTATGATTTCAAGCACCGGAAATACGACCCTAACGGCAAGGACTTTAGTATGATTTATAGTGCTTTAAATTATACTCAAGTCCTGACTTGAGCATTGAATAGAGTTCTGGAATGCGACCCTTAGGGTCTACTCAATGCTCAAGTATATTAAGTAGAGAGTAATAGTATATTAAGTAGAGATTGAAGAACAATAATAACAAAATCAAGTTATCTCTATTAAAAACTGTACTAAACGCCCTTTATTTCTTACGTACCCGCTATAAAAATGAAAAAATAACTTTTAAAAATATGTTTTGTTTACGGGATCTTCGAGATCGCACCGAGTCTCGATTTTTTATCATGTGTTGCGGAAATCCAAGATTCATCAGATTGAATAGAAAAAATATATAACAGTACTGTGGGAGCGTAGCCGTGGTTGTAGCGTAGACAGAGGTAGGTACTATTTAATAATAAACGAGGAATATATATCATAATTAACGTTTACTTTGTGCGTTCGGCTAGAAAATTCGTCCAGAACGACCGCGATGCTCCTTTGACTACTACCCTCTTTTTTATCTAATTCTAAATACAAACCCACCTTATTTTTTAGACAGTTCTAAATATAATATAATCAGACCAGTCTGCTACAGTACTCACCTATTAACTCTACGGCCTCGTCGTAATCACAATCACTGCTTGTTTCCTCATCGTTGACATCGCTCTTCATTTTACTAATTAAAAAGTAGCAAACAGTTTCAAACTCATATAATGATACCTATTGAAAATGTAACTATTAGGAATAGAAAGTTATTCAAAAGTAGCGACATTTGAATTTCCAGTTAAAATTTTAACATACTCTTTGAAATTACTTAATAATGCTCAGCTCACTTAAAACAAACTTTAAATTTTCAAGTCTTTTTCGTTCACTTCGCTCTAAAATTTCAATTTAACTCAATATATAAACTTGTCATGTGATAACCAGCTTTTCTTGAATGGTTATATCGCAACACTATTCTCGTAAACAGATTTTTTTGTGTAACACAATTCCGATTGCGACTGTTTATTCGTACAGTTCGTGAAGTACTAAAAAATACTTTACGTCATTTACAAGTACTTACACTCACAGGCAATTCAATATAGTCGTTGAAAATATTTATAAGAACATGTGGAACATTGAAACTACAAAAGCAAGGATAGCCTTGAGTTATAGTTGACGAAATTAATTTGAACCTATTCGTCTTACCGCCCATAGTAATAACATTAGTAAAAAAAGTAAATAGTAGCATTGACGTGTTCTTGAGAATTCATGAGAAGTGTGGGTGTAAATTCATACTAAGTGCTCACGATCGCGTCGTGATCGATCGTTCTTTTCGGAAATTGCTGTGAACACTACAGAATCATTAAATTCCTCCCCTTCACTTGCTATTAATCTCCTAAATGAAAATGTTAACGTTTGTGGCAGTTTATTTAATTTCCGTCGTGTTAATCCACAAGACATCATAAAAGTTTTTAAATCAATACATGTTAAAAAAACTGAAGATCTCTGGGGCATATCAACTAAAGTTATAGACTCAGTTATTGATCTAATTTCCCCACATTTAGCTGTAGCTTTCAATAGGTCCGCTGGCGAAGTTATTTTTCCCGATTTAATGAAATACAGCAAGTTTATTCCCTTATTCAAAAGCGGTAGGAAAGTTGATCCTACCAACTATAAGTCCATTTCAATTTTACCAGCTTTAAGTAAAATATTCGAAAAGGTTATGCTTACTCAATTACTGTCCTATTTCGGTAGGAATCATATTTTTCATAGTGAACAATACGGGTTTACTATTGGTAGATCGACCAGTGATGCGGGGGTAGCGTTAATAAAACACATCTTTGATGCTTGGGAAAGGTTCCAGAACGCTAATGGTGTTTTCTGTGACCCCTCAAAGGCATTTGATTGCGTTGATCATATTACTCTTATTAGGAAGCTGGAACATTACGGTGTAAATGGCAAGGCGTCGAAACTTGTCTCGTCATATCTCAATAGTAGAATTCAGAAAGTAGACATAAATGGAGTGACTTCTTTGGGTTCTCCGGTAAAAATGGGTGTTCCGCAGGGCTCAATACTCGGACCTTTCATATTTCTGATTTATATTAATGATCTGTCATTCTTTGTTAAGGATCATTGCGAAATAGTGCTGTTTGCTGCTGACACCATTGATTCCAAACAATCCTTGATTTTTAAAACAGACAGACATGACATTAACTATGACCATATTAATGATAACCTCTCTAAAGTAGTTTATTGGTTTAATGCTAACAATTTATTGCATAACCACTCACACGATACATGCAGCCGTAGACGCATACCACACCTAGAGGTGCCGGTGATGATTTTATACCGATTTATCGGATATCGAAGTTATAACAGGTAAAAGAACTAATACTAATTGCTATTTCGGTAACTACTCTAGCAAACCATAAAGTTTTTAATGCCTGGATCTATCATTTATCGGTAAGCCTTATTTTAATAAATTTTCCATTTTCAGTTTATCGAGTTGATTTTTTGTACCGTAACAAACGAAAGTAAACATTATGGCAAAGCAATATGAGCCGTTACACACGGCGATGCAATCGCCTATAAATCGCAAGTGTAACTGTTCAATCGCGCGTTTCGCGAACGTGCGCTTGCATCGCTGTTAAAAGTCTCCGTGTGTAATCACTCTATGGTCGAGTTTTAACTTTTCGAGAACTAAGTAAACATCTGCAATTTTCCACGCTAGTATCGAACAAAAGTTTAGCGAAAAAATGCTTCATGAGTGTTTTGTTAATTTTGAACTTAATTGATCGAAATAAATTTCTTTTTTTTGTTTTTTTTTTCTTTCGTGGATAACTCTAAAACAAAAATCGTGTTATATGGTGAATCAAAATTTGTATTTTTTTTAATTTTCACGCACTCATCATAGCTAACTTTAAACTGGTTACTTTTATTTTGCCGATGTAATTTTTTTTATTAGTTGCCCCGAATTTATTGCCGGTGAGTACACAATTATAATATTAATAATGTTTATTACTGTTAAATGTGATACCAAACCTGATTAACGGCTACCTAAATTTAGTTAATACCATGTGACTTATTAAACAAGCAAAAAAATTTGTGATATTTCGTCTTATACAGCAGCTACATTTTACAATTGATAAGTGCTTTACAATTATAAGATCTATTAGTAAACAAATTAGGTCACACAAATGAAGCGAATTAATTAATAGTAAATTAATGTTACACAAACACACCATTCATAGATCTAATCTACTAAATCTACATCATACCAAACCATCAGTGGTAATTTATTCAAAATTAATTTAATCAAAATTCGACAATCTGTACGTAGACTACATTATGTACCCGTCGATCCAGTCAGACTTCGCCGTATTCCGATAAAAAACCAGATTGAGACTGTTTTTAACCGACTTGAAAAAAAAGGAAGAGGTCCTCTATTCGACTATGTTTTTTTTGTGTTTAGTATAGTTTAGTTTATTTCTGTCAACATTGCAAATTTCATACAAATACAATTACATGTCGTTTTATACTATTCTTCGAAAAGTGAGCGTCAGTTTACAAAATAATGAAGAAATAATTTTAAAATAGTGATTTATAAGTACACAATAGTGTAAATAAACGAAATCAACATAATTAATGAAAGTTATAAATAATTGAATTAAACTAACAATGTCAAGTGTATACAGGGAATGTCAATATGGATTCTTAATAACGAATAAATGTATATTACAGTATAATAATACGGTGAATGTCAAATTCATTAATAAATATATTAATTAAATTTTTATTGAATTGATATTCAATTATTTTTTGTGAAATTACTCCACTAGTTTGTTATAATTATTAATACAAAGATCGAACACTCAGAAAAAGCACTCAGAAAAAATTCCTTCGATCCGGTCGGATTCGAACCGACGTCTTCTTGCATACCGTGCCAGACGCTATACCAACTAAGCCACGGAACGAACCAACGAACCTCACGAATTTTTCTATGTGTTTGCGTCGTGTCTTTGTACTTGGTCTTTCAATAATTTAATTATTTATTTAGTACTTTGAGTTTACTGAGTAAAGGGACTTTTCCAACTAAAGATTCTTCAGTCTGCGCCTGAACGTTTTCTCACAACATTCGTTTTTTAGTTCGGCAGGTGGGTGCTCGTAGTAGGTCGGTTCTATAATCCGCGGGTTTTGTGAATTGATCTGATCACTGATACTGATCGGAGTTGTCCCGCACGACCGAGGCACCCACCCATCGACTCCACTCGCCCAAACATAATGACCTCAAAAACATTGCCAGTAGTGGGTCCGGTGTACACCAAACAGCCCCTTGCAGGATGAATTAGGAGAATGCCCGCTTTTGTATACGCATTACCCTGTCAGCGTCTATCGAATTGCCCCACAGAATAACACCATAAATCATAGTTGAGTGGAAGTGTGCAAAGTACGCCTGTCTCACCGATTGCGAGACACCAACGGTTTTAGTTTACGCAGAGCAAACACCGCACCACTCAGCTTGTCACATAGCAAGTCTACGTGCTGTTTCCAATTCAAGGTAGGTTCCAACGTAAAACCCAAGAATTTGCATTTGTCTCTCGTCGGAATAGGACGCTTGATACTCACACTCGGAATATATTACTCATTACTCCAATATTTGTGAACCGATCTCGATAATATTTTTTTTGTTGGAAAGGGGATATCTTAGTAATGGTTCCATTCAAATTTGATGAAAATATTCTACCTCTAAGGGTGGTAAACTACGGTTTCGCGCACTTTCCGGTAACAGATCTCAATAAAACTTGGTAAATAGTTTCGGTTCACAAATGCCGAAGTTATCGCGTAACATGCATACAACAACAAAAAAAATACAATCCAATGTAGAACCGCGTTTTAAATCTCCTTGACTGGGGTTTTCAAATAGCTACCTGTTAGCATTTTATAATTTTAATCACACAATGTATTTATAATAATCATAATATTGAAGATAATGAGTACAGTTGTTGATTTGAACAAGTCATGTGTATAGGACTAAAATGGCCATTCCTACGACGGCCGCCATTAAAGACAAACTCTTGACAGTTCTGGTGCGTTGTAGCAATTATGCAACTTATCTCATTAATAGTTAGAATGAATGTTCATATAACCATATTCCTTATTTGTAAATTAATGAAACATTAATATAACTTCATTCCTACCGCATATGTAATAATCTCAATACAGAGTACTAAAAAAACCGACCTCAAAAGTACGTGGAATTACGTCTATTTGCTAAGTTTTATTGAAATATCCCCTAGTTCGCCACTATAGAGGACTTGACACTGGAGATAATAAAAATCGATTCTCACTGCTCAAAGTAGATATATTGAGAGAAAAACGCCTTGAATTGGAGAAATAACAAAGTCAACTATTAAACTAATTGCTCCTAAATTAATGTTAGGCGCTATTTATGAAAATGAATCTTCATGCGTGAACAGCCACCCTTCGAGGTGGGTGATTTTCTTCAAAATGAAATGGGACCACTATGGAAGTACCCCCTTTCCAACAAAAAAAAAATCATGAAAATCGGTTTACAAATACCGGAGTTATCACGTAACATACATACAACAAAAAAAGAACATACAGTCGAATTGAGAACCTCTTCCTTTTTTGAAGTCAGTTAACAAAATAAACAG